CTTGCTTTGCACTTAACTGCATGCTGCTTAGCTTCTAAGACTGCTTAAGTCATCCCTGTGCTCACCCTTAATGACTTAATGCTGGACTTCAAGAAATTAGAAGGTTTTTGGGAAGTAGGAGGCAAAGCAGTCTTAAAAAAGGTACAGCAGGAACAGAGTGAAACAGAACTTAAAGGGAAGAAAGAAGCTACCCTCCACTCCCCATCAGGTGACAAAGACAATAAAAATTAGTAAGTGCACCAATAAATAAATAAATGAAGGTGTACAAAGCAAGTATGTGAAAAAACAAATAAAGAGGTATTTTCTGATTCCTTATATAGTCTTTGAATGACTTTTCAAAAGAAAGAAGTCTCATCAACATCAAAACTGGTAATGAAATGGGGCAAGTGCAGTCCCACTATGACAACACAGTGTCATCCCATTTCAGTTTCTATTTTATGGCCTGATGTTCAGGATTTATTTACTCTGAATTTTAAAATTAAATTGAAGAGTAAGGGCAAGAGATTAGGTATTATTTTTGGTCAGAATAATAAAAATGAAGTTTAAAACATCCTTCCATATGGTGATACAAGCGTAAGCAAAGGAGCAGAAAAATGCTTCAAAGGGACTATAGCTCCTGGAGCAAGGAAACTAGTGTGTTTGTTGATGCTTCTCCTTAGCCGACAGAAACTCTTTTGTATATATACCTCATAATTAGGGCTTCATGTGCCTGTGGGGAGGATACACAGCCAGGGAGCAGCCTTTATGCACAGCATGCTACCTTAGCAACCTGACAGATTTCCAGCAGAAATGTGTGTGGGAGTTAATGCTGATCTTCGCAGGGTTAACCCATTTTTGGAGAGAGAAATATGCACAGCTATTGTAGACCAGTCAGCATAGTACGGCTTCTGGAATCCATAGGAAAAGCACTTGGGCAATGTATATTCATATCTGGTATATATACCCAGATTTTAATTCCCTCGTCCACCAGATCCCTGTGTGGAGAGTAACGTGACATCAGTCACATGAGAGGATACTCACTAAGTGTACTTTTGACCTGTCCTAGGTTTTCCATGTATTTCTCACCTGATATGAGCTTTGAGTGTGTATTTTTCACTGTTATACCAGATTAGCCTTTTTAAAAGTGAATTTCCTATTTGCCATTCTAGTGCTTCAGAAGAACTCTGAGGAACTGTTTGAAGGATAGTTGGCTTTAAAACATCGTGTTGTAAACTTTGGCTACCCAGGGTCAGATTCGTACAGCTGTCCAAGCTGCAGTGGTGGGGTGGCTAACAGACAAGAATAGCAATCTGAAGCTGAGCTCTGCTAGCCCCAGCCAGAGCCCTAGGACTAATCTGAGTATAAGAAAAGGTAAATGAGCACAGAAGAGATAAAGGGGTGAGGAAGGGAGAGGAATTCTTGTGTCTCTCTGAGAACTGACTTCAACAGCAACAGCTGATTAGGACCAGACAGTTCATACCTGTTGTCCATACGCTTTCCTTCAGTCAGAGCTAGAAAAATGTCACTGCTACAGAGTGAATGGCATGTATGTGTCTTGTGACTGTGTTAATCTAATTCAGTATTTTAAAGGTATAGCGTAGAGTATCCCTTGTGGGCATGCAGAGAGTGGGAAATTGCTTAACGGTCGAGTGTGAAAGAGTAGGACTGTGGAGGAGAGAGTTTTCTGAATCTCTGACAGGGGGTAAGGACTATTTGCAGCTTGTATAATTTAATTTTGAACCACCAGAGGAAGAATTTATGTGCACAATTTCAGCTGTTTTCCATCCCCAGAGGAAAGCATTACTGTATCGCAGTCTAACCAATCATCTGATATTCTCATTAATCAGCAAAAAAAAAATTGTGTGATAGGAAGCCTATGTTTGCATACAGTCTCAATGACATAAAACTGTAAAAATTCTGATTTTATCTGTCAATTTAATTGGTAGAATAATAAGACTTTCACCAAGACACTTGACTACAAAGCTTTGAGAGGCATATGCAGCAGGGGGTTAAGATTCTAGCTATACTGAAGTTCAGTGGGTTTATCAGAAATAAAAGTTGAGAGCATCTCACTTAAACTTTTGACTTTCCTTGTAAATGTTGTAAAATATTAAAATTTTGTTAGTGCATTCCAGTTAGGACCCCTCAATTCTTTCCTTAGAATCATGGAATCATAGAATGGTAAGGGTTGGAAGAGAGCTTAAAGATCATCTGGTTCCAACCCCCTTGCCATGAGCAGGGACATCTTCCACTAGACCAGGTTGCTCAGAGCTCCATCCAACCTGGCCTTGAACACTTCCAGGGAGGGGGCAGCACAGCTTCTCTGGGCAACCTGTTCCAGTGTTTTACCACCCTCATGGTGAAGAATTTCTATCCTTGGATCTACTAATCTAATCTAAGGGAAAATTGTTGAAGAAAGCTACTTGACCTATATCTGGTTTTTTCACTGAGAAAATCTGAAATTGGTCTATATGTAAATCAGGTTTGTTCAGAGTTCCAACCCCTTTCTCTCAGGTAATCAGCTTTCTACTACTAGTTAAAATAGTAGGGCAAAATAATAAGGCCTGAATGCGTTGAAGGGAAGTATACTATTCTGTGAGAAGTTTTCTGTATGTCTTCCTAGCATTCCTGGGGTGCCCAACAGTTGTTCCTACACAAGAATTATACAAGTCTCCACATAACTGATGTGTAAAGAACTGCCCATTTGGCCAGAACCAAAATGAAACAGGATGAGGAGTCCTTGTGCAATGCATCTCCGTTATGCTTAGAGAGGTCTAATATATGTTATCTCTGTTGTTTTGCTGGGAAAGAGGTAGTTCTATATCGCTTCCAGCAGAGAATGCTGTAAGTAGCACAGTATCTTTTCAGTTGTTTTATTGTATATTAGCCCTCATTTTATTTTGCCTAGTTGGAGGTGTGAGATTAGTTTGAACTATTACAATTAACTTTATAGATAAGTATGTCTTTCTCTGTTACCTAGTTCCCTATCAGTCTTTCTATCTACTTTGAATTTTTATATTGCTACCCTTCAATACTACCATATATTGGATTATCTTCCACATAAAATCAATAGCTTTACTGAAATCCCTGCTAGAATTGAAGGACTGCTCAAGAATAGCAAGAAGGAAGAGTTTGCAAGGTTTTCTAAAGTTTCCTGTCTGGATTTACTGGATCCACTGTGGAATACTATTGGTAGAAATCATAAATAAAGACTATTACTTAGACTGCACCAAAAGTGTTGGGTTTTTTACTAATGGAAAAAGATGGAACTGTAATATTAAATTTTTATTTTGCACCTCAAATACTTAACATTAACATTCAAAGTGACATTTTTGTCTTGCAAATTTGAAACTTTCATGAATAAAGTCTAAATGAAATTTATACTACCGAAGGGAGGCCTTTTATGTGGCATTCATCAGTAGCTATTCTTGTTCAAAACATGTAACTAATAAGAACATAATCATTGGTATTTAGAATAGTTCTGGCCCCTTGAAAACAACACATTAAAATAAGAAACCATTAATCTCACACCTGGGTAAGCTGATCAGGCAATTAAACATGGAAGATGCAATTAATCTCTTTCCTCTTTATCATGACGTATATAACTGTGGAAGTTAATTTTCTTGTTGTCAAAATTAAGACAGATATCTTAATAAAAAGTGCATTCTGTATGTTTCTGAACTGGACACCTGTATATTTATTCATATTAGGCCTAAAGCCTTACTCTCAAAGTAATGAGCAGGTGTTGGTTTTTTTTTCCTCTTTTCATCATTAAGTCTCTCACAGGTCAATATTTGATGGAGTATAATATCTACATCGTTCTCTAGTAGCCTGCTTTAGATTTTTGCTTTGTCTCAGTCTCCTTCAAACAAACGTAACAAAGAAAAATTTCTTCTGTTCTGCAAGAGAGTCTAACAGCGCTGCATCCTTTCTAATTAAACATTTGTGCTTGTATAATACCAGAATTTCAGTGTTCACACTGACCCGGAGCTTAATTATTCTTCACGTATTCCTTCTATCATCACAGCCAAATTTTCACCAGAGTTGTACCATTTCTCATGTATACCATTAGGACTGAAATGTCTTTGCCTCTTTCCTGGACCATACCATCTTAAGAAATAAATATGAGTCCTGCCTTTGTCAAACGTTGCTTCCTGCTTTTCACAAACACCAGTAAATACCACTAAAATTGATTAATTACCACTATGATGGTGGCAGCCTAATACTTGTACTTTTCCACTGACTCCCATTCAAATTCCAAATATTTTAAAAGCTTTTCAAACATTCATCTATCTTCGATTGCTTCGCTTCTGATCCAGTTCCTCTAACACCTGCCTCATCCTTCTTACAGAGTTGTGCCTGCTGGTGTGAAAATATGTTCTTCTGCATAGTCCTGTGAAACAGCCTACTTTCATTTCTCGTTCTGATCAAGCCTTAATTGCCTTTCCAAACTTAATTATAAAAAATCTACTTTTTCTTCTTTTTTATTTATTTCATTTGCCTTTTTTTACACACGTTGGCTTTCTGTAATGATGTTATGGGAGTATATTAAGCTGTGCATACTTCTGTCAGCTTTGCTATTCTGAAACATATATTTTTTTAATGGTGCAGGAAATACATATGGTACAAATTGGACTGCCATTGGTTTGACTCCATCTCTGTATTCTAGGATGGCTGGTCTTATTAAAGTGTATAGCAAATTCAATACGATCTATGGTTCTGTTCTGCATGGATATAGAAGGGGTTTGCATGATACAGCAAGTACCATCTTTTGGCAGGAGTGCTTCCATTGTGGCAACACTGCTACATGCACTTTTACCTTTGTTCATGCCTTTTCAAACTTACCTTTCAGAAGTCAATATTGCAACTGGAGAAGAGGTAAAGGCATCGAATTTGAAAGCACTTTAGGGCACTAAATAAATCACTGGAGTACTTCAGAAAAGACTGCTGATACAGCCTTACAAGAATATGGGATTACCAAATTACAGTGTACGTGCTCACAGCACTTTTATGAAAGTGAGTCAGTGGGCAAGGGTGGGACTGTGTCAAATAGTGTGACTGAGCTGAAACACAGACTGAGTGTGTATCCTGTAGGTACGAGGAAGATCTTTGATGGACCTTTTTCTTATGTTTGACATTTCTGAAGGGCCAAAAGCAAAAATAAGGTATCACATATGGATTTAGAATAAAGTCTTAACTGGACCTACAGCAAGGTTGTATGGAAAGAAGAATAGGAGTCAGAGCATTTAAGATGGATCCAACTTGTAATTTCAGTAGTATTCAGCTAGTAGAATTTTAGCCATGCATATATGACCATTTTGAAAGAATCACAAATACCTTTTTGGTAGTTTCTTGGCAGGCATTTGCAGCAAACTTGTCAGGTTCCCTGTAGAACGTGTTTTCAGTAAAATTAGTGTTGCTTCACTGTATTGCAGAGACTTTCTCCGAGTGCTGACATCCTTCTCCTTGCCCATACTTACTTCATTTTGAATGATGTACTACGCATGTCTCATTTTACATAGAATGGAGATCAGGGTATCCCTGTCGTAAGACATTTGAAGTTTTTCATACAATCTACACTGTGAAACAACATGCTGTTAACTGCAGAGATCACCCTGTTGTGCATCATTCAGCTGGAGACATTATTCACTGTTGTTAGGAGGGCTGACAGTTTTTGACTCAAATCAAAATTTGTTCTCTGCTGAGTAACGACACTGAGCAGTACTTTGGATGTGTGGCTCCCTTAGAACTGAAGTAATCCTTTCTGTGACACGTTATGTAAATGTAGTTGGCTTATGCTGCTTTTTCAGAAACTACAGAAACTATACTGTTATTCTGCCAGTTAGAAAAGTTTGTAATTAATTCTGACATTCTGAATTTTTTTCCCCAATTGCATTCCAAAGTCTGTTACTCTCTGAGCATTTCTTGAGCATGTACATCTTATTGTCAGGTGTAGTTTGTGTCCTCTACACAGTCAATATCACTGTCATAATTTTTCAGTGTACTGTGGGATTTTCAGAATATAAACAGACTACGTGAAGTGGTATTTGTTTCATATGACAAACTACTCTTATGATGCTCTTAATTATTATGTAATGTTTTAATAAATAATTTAATCATATTTTATGTAGTATTAATATGCTTTTTAAAAATAAATAAGTTTTTTGTGAAGTTTCATATAATGCTTTAAGGTATTATAAGGCTTTTATATTATCATTACTATAAGGATTTTATATATCTTTAAGTCTTTTAGCTATTACATAGCTGAGGTTGTATATGCATTCGATTGCTCATTAATACTTCTTCTGCAATCAAGATGAAATGCAGAATCTTTCCTTAAGAGTCCATAAAGAGAGCGCATACAGGCAGCTGTCTTTAGATAATGTGATCTTCACTGAGTGAAGCCATTTAGGCCTATATAGAAAGGAACAAGCCTGTAAAATGAGTTGTGTCCAGGAAAACAGAATTGCAATTTATGTTTCTTCTACTGTGTCATTATTTCCACTATACCCTACTTACGGATCTGAGACAATCACTGCCCTTTTCACTAGCGAGTGATGGCAAGAAAAATCCAGCTTTTTTCTTATATTTTGAAATTTTAAAGAACTAGTTATACTGCCTGACTGGGAGCTGGGTTAATCCAAGAAAAAAGCTTAATTAATTACAATTTAAAAAAAGGACAATAAGCCTTTTTTTTTCCTTTCAGTAAGAGCAACAAAATATAGATGTGTCAGTAGACAGTTTCTGTTTGGTCTGCTTGGCCTGTTAGAAAGTCCTTTACATGTTTTCTATTGACTGTACTTCAATAGTATGAGACTCATTTGCCTCCTTCTTAAGGAGAATGATATTTAAGCCAATCTTCACTTTCTTAGACCCTTCTCTTTCTAGGTATTGCAACACATGTTTAAATTTCTTTGTAGCTCCATTGGCTTCCATGTGGTTGTTCACTTGCTGAGAGTTTAATACATACATAATGCTGGGTCCCTATTACTTGGTTTTGTAAACTCTTCATGGATTTAGAAGGAGGTGACTTAATTGGTTTCTCAAATTTAGTAAACATTCCCATATTAAATTCTCTAAGTGCTACAAATCTAATCGTACTTTTGATTAGAAAATTTAAAATATGTTAATGAAGTTTAATAAATGATAAATAAATAGTGCAAGGTTCATAAAAGCAAGCAAGGTAGTGAAAACTAATTGCAATGTTGTGAAAACAAAAAACTTGCTTTCTATTGCTAAGTATTTCCTGCACTAAAAATAATTTTTCTTTTTAAGCATTAAGGAAATGTTGGATGAAGAATTTCTTTTTTTGTCTCCTGGGGATGACATTAAAATAGGAGCTCATTTAAAATACTGCTTAATCTAAAAAGCAATTTATTTTTTTCATCAAATGAGAGATTGAAAATCTTACCATATCTGTCTGAAGTGTATAACCAGCAGACTGACCTGGTACAGTAACTATGTACATTTCAATACTAGTTTGAGATGTTTAGTCCTATCGTAATAGATATGCAGATTTTATAAGAAGGTATAAACTGTGATGCTTAATGAGGTGCTAAGGCACATCCTGTTTTCAAGGAAATCGTGAGTCACCGAAATGTCGCACAGGATTCAACAAAGATAAAATCAATTCTTTATTTTACATATACTGAGAACATACTTTGTTGAGCCTACATTAAACTTTTTGCAGCATTCCCTTCCTCTGTAACCTGAGAAAAAAAAATCTTACCGTACCAGTTCCTGCTTCCTGCTCATTAAATGTCTTTCAATTCATTTTATACTTTACTGCACTGTTTATGTTTGAAATGCGGTTGAAGTTTCATCTAGTCTGTCTCTTCTCTGATAATGATGGTCCTTTTTTTCTTCTCCTACACTACCCTTTGCTCAGCTAAGTTTTTCTCTTTTGCATTATTGGGCTCTTATTTGAAACCCCGAACTTTACAGTTGATTATGTTTCTTATACTAGAAATGGCTTTTTTTGTTTTTTTGACTGTGACGGTGAGGCATAGATGTTTTCAATACATAGAAGTTGTTTTAAAAATACAAGTGTATATTAATAATATAGCATTCTTCCTTATTCCAATGTCTACTTTTTATGAAGATCCTCTGTAAAAAATATAAATACATACATTTCAGTGAACTTATAATACATTTTTAATCATGGATTTGCATTTTCTTAGGAATTTTGTTCTTGGTTTCTTTCCAGAGATTGTTTTAAAAAATCAAAATAAATTGCTATTGAAGTATGAAAAATGAAACTAAAAAATTTTCCTTACAGTCTGAATGCATGAAAAAAATTTGAGAATATATTTATAGAACTACATACCTGTATAATAACTAGAGGTAAGAATCACTAAAAATAAACAAAAATTAAGAACATCTTCAACAGCTACTTTTTATTTACTTTAGATCATCTTCTCCGTTATTTTTTTATATCTTTCTCCTCATCTTATATTCTACATTTTCTAATTCTTCTTTGCATGCAATATTTGTTTACTATTCATAGAAAGATTTCAACAAGCTCTTTTGTTATCTTTTCACAGATTTTTGGCAAAAATGATTCACATGTGAAGACAGAGGGTGTTTTGGGGGTAGGGGAGTTATTTTAAATAAATAGTTACATAGGTATAATTTTCACTTCCTTAATTGGGTGAGATTACATTCACTAGTTAATATGAAGTTCTCTAGCTGACAAGATTCTTTTAAGAGAACAGAAAAACAAACATGAATCCTGAGTAATGATACACCACTCAATTGTGCAAACAGCATTAAGACAGAATTTAATATAAGGTTTAAATCATAAAATTTTTAGCCTTTTTTAATGTTAATAAATCACATATCCTTTTTAATTCTGTGTTGGCACAGTAGCAGACATGGCCAAAACAGTTGAAACAATAAAGATCTGTACTGCTGGATGAAGAACACCTGTATGCAACTGGAAAGAGTTTTATAAAGGATGCTATTCTAAAGGCACATTAATTTATTTTCTACAGACACATAGAATATATAAATTATAACAGGATAATTTGTCAGTTTACATACTTATGTACACATTCAGAACACATTTTAAAGACCTATGTTTAAATCCCTGTTACTTCCCTATCCAGGCTAATTCTTGCATGTAAAATTCAATGAGCTCACTTTGACTATTTTTTTTTTCACTCAGAAGTATTCAGTCATAGACCAGGGCCGATTATTCTAGGATCATTAAAAACAAGCGTCTTGTTGGTAATGAAGGCATTTGAAACTGAGAAATGAGGATATAAGATAATGATTCTACTAATAAAGTTGTCATTGAAACTTGACATGGATTAGAAAACCAAAAGATCCAAACCACTGCAACATTAAACAAACATTTCAAGACAAATTATGCTAATTTACTAAATGCTGGGTATTTTTTTTTTTTTACCCATTTCTCTTGTGGTAATCTTACAACAGGCATTCTGTGTGTTCTATAAATGTCTATAAAGGCCTTTCCTGAAGAAGTCATTCAACTAAAACAGATACTGCTATTTTTATGTTATATGTGTAGACTTCCATTCAGTTTAAATAATCTAGACTGCTTCTGAGTGCTTACAAAAAAGTTTTTAAAGGGTATGGTTTCGTTTACCATATATAAATCATTTGAATATGAACAAGTATGAATAAATTCTAACTACGCTTAAAATCCAGAACTGAATTAAGTTAATTCAGTATCTTAAGAAGTCTACTGAAAATTATTCATTCCCCACACCTAGCAAAGGGATAGCTTCTGATAGGGAAAATAATAGTACTTTTTATATTACTGATAAATATATCAGCCTCTGTTTTAAAATAAATTATTCCATTTAATATATGCTTAAAAAAGAAGTATAGAAGTATGCACATTTTGGCTGAAAGTATTGTAATGAACCCTCAAATGCAGCAGCACTTCAATATCCAATGAAAATCAGTTTTATTTGGAAGGTTATCTTAACCCTCAACATTGCGAATACCTATTATTTTTCTGTTGGATGTTGGAAATCTGACTGAAGAGCCTTCTTGTAAAAATAACC